GAGACACCTTATGACCCTCAATCGAAGGAAAATGCTGTTCTTCGAGGGATAGGTCCAGTTGCTAATCATCATCATCATGATCACTCAAAACCAAATATATTTTTCTCAGAAGAAGGATTGAGGCGCGGCGCAAAATTGGATGTGGAGTTACCTAAAAGAAAATTTGTAACCCCGTTGTTGCCCCGCGAAATTACAGAACACTTACCATTCTCATCAGAAAAGATAAATGAAATATTAAAGATTTTGGCTGTGAAGCCAGATTCTAAGAATGCTGAGAATGTGGAGGAAACTCTGAAGATCTGTGAAGAGCCTGCAATGAATGGTGAAGAAAAACATTGTGCAACTTCAGTAGAATCCATGGTAGACTTTGTCACTTCTAAACTTGGCAATAACGCCCATGTTACTTCTACAGAAATTGAAAGCAAGTCCCAAAAGTTCATAGTTAAAGATGGAGTGAAGATTTTAGCAGAAGAAGAGATAATTGCATGTCACCCAATGAATTACCCATATGTTGTGTTTTACTGCCATAAGATATCAAATAGCACTGCACATTTTATGCCATTGGAGGGAGAAGATGGAAGTAGGGTTAAAGCTGTAGCAGTGTGCCACAAAGACACATCAAAATGGGATCCAAACTATATTGCATTCCAAATTCTCAAAGTCAAGCCTGGGACCAGTCCTGTGTGTCATTTGTTCCCTGACGGTCATCTTATTTGGTTTGCTAAATCGGGTTAACTAAACCTATCATGCCAGGAATACTATCCTTAAATTAAATAAGGCATTTCTGGATTTATGTAAGATATCATGAATGTAAAAATGATGATGATGTGATGTATGGTTTGTGTTAGTTTTATGGTGCTATTTGAATTTTTAAACTTTCTTTCACATAATTTGATAGTGATCCAGATATATGTGAGCTGCAAACAAAAGACACTAAAAGCATCCACTATCCTAAAACTTAATTGAGTGTGTCTTAAATTGCTTTATTGGATGTACGACACCACTTTAATTCCAATGATTGAATTTTAAGCAACTCTTAACTTATAATATGATTTTATATTCCCTTTATTTACTCTTAAATTAATAAGAAATTAAAATACTAATTTAATTATTTTAGTTCCTTTGTATAACACTTAATAGTTCAAGGATGTGGAATTAACTTAGTATTCTGTATCATGAAACAATTCTTAATACACATTCAATTTAAAGAAAACAAAATTGAAAAAAAATGAGAAATAGCACTGTATAAGAAAAAACAAAAAAAGAAAACACTTCAGCACCTGCAACTTCCGACCCCGTTTGTGGTTGGTACTACTTACTGTATATCTATTCCTTTCGTTCAACTTTCATGGACCATTTTATAAACCCACCTTGAATAATGATAGTCATTATATAATCTATACCTAATATAAAGGGGATTTTTTTTATGTTCATATTTATTTTCCAATTTTATTTTTTAAATAAAATTTTTTAAAATTAAAATACTCATTTTATCAATTTTATTATTTAAGTGATTTTTTTTCTAAATTTAATTATTTTCTCAATTTAATCAGATTTTTAAATTTAATCATTTCTTAATTAAAAATTAGTTACAAAATACATAAAAATTATTTATAATAAAATTATAAAAATGATTCATGTTTAATTTTATAATTGTAATAATAACACTAATAACAATTTTATTATTCTTTTTATCATAAAAAAAAGGTTTAATACCTCTTTTGGTCCTTCGAAAAGGGACAAATGTTCAATTCGGTCCTACCTTTTTTTAGAAGTTCAATGTGGTCCTAAATTTTGTAAAAAGTGTGCAATCAAGTCCTTTTTGGAAACGGCGTTAATTGTTAAACGAACGCAACTGACAAGGTGGCCTGAAGTTTGCTACGTGCTGTGTGAGGGTAATATACGTGGTTTTTCCTATTCGAAAAATCCTAATTTGAAAATTAAAAGGAACCTAATTAAAATTAGAAGTTAAGAAGGGAAAACTCCCAATCTGAAAGGATTATTGAACCCTAAATTGTGAAATCTCAATTTCTTTCCTACCCTCTTCTTCTTATGTCTGCTTCGTCACTCTCAATGTGAGGGAAAGATATAGTTTTCCCTTCTCTTCTTCTCCTTCGGCGCTGCTCCCAACCATATGGCAGCTTCCTTTCTCTCACGTTGGGACACTTGCGACAGCTTTGGGGTGGTCTGGCGGCGAGCCTTGTGAGCGACACAGCGCAGAGCGCGACCCTTGGGGTTTCGATGGTGGTTCGCGCGGGGGGTCTCGAGCGACAGTTTGCGGAGATCACCACGAACTTCGCCGAGGTTGGCCCTGTGATCTCTGGTTTGGTTTTTTGTTTTTTGGTTCTGGTTTTCTCTGCAGGTGGAGGGCTGGCCTCGCGTGTACTTTTCGAACACACGAACACCTTCAGAGATGTCCATTCGTATCTCAAACCACCATTTCTCTCTAACTCAACCCTAATTTCTTAACCTCATGTAATATTTACCCTCTCACAGCCACGTATGACCCTCTCACAGCCACGTATTACCCACACACAGCCACGTAGCTAACTTCAGTCCACCATGTCAGCTGCTTCGTTAAAGCTGTAGCAGTGTGCCACAAAGACACATCAGAATGGGATCCAAACAATATTGCATTCCAAGTTCTCAAAGTCAAGCCTGGGACCAGTTCTGTGTGTCATTTTTTCCCTGACGGTCATCTTATTTGGTATGCTAAATAGGGTTATAAGGCATGAATACTATCCTTAAATTAAATAAGGCATTTCTGGATAGTGTGATCATGTACTCTTTCAGCCTACAATATATTTCTCTTTGTTCGGAATTATGTAAGATATCATGAATGTAAAAATGATGATGATGTGATGTATGGTTTGTGTTAGTTTTATGGTGCTATTTGAATTTTGAAACTTCCTTTCACATAATTAGATAGTGATCCAGATATATGTGAGCTGCAAACAAAAGACACTAAAAGCATCACTATGCTAAAACTTAATTGAGTGTCTTAAATTGCTTTATTGGATATACGATACCACTTTAATTCCAACGATTGAATTTTAAGCAACTCTTAACATATAATAATAATTTTATATTCCCTTTATTTACACTTAATTTAGTAAGAAATTAAAATACTAATTTAATTATTTTAGTTCCTTTGTGTAAAACTTAAAAGTTCAAGGATGTGAAATTAACTTTGTATTCTGTATAATGAAACAATTCTTAATACAACCTTAACACATTCAATTTAAAAAATAAAATTGAAAAAAAAATGAGAAATGGCACTGCATGAGAAAAAACAAAAAACAAAACACTTCAGCACGTGCAACTTCCAACCCCATTTTGTGGTTGGTACTACTTAGTGTGTATCTATTCCTTTCGTTCAACTTTCATGGACCATTTTATAAATTTATTTATACCCTGTTGTTGAAACTATCAAATTAATATTACTTTTTAAGGCAACTTCGATATTGCTAAATTAGTTGTCAAGAAATTAGATAGGGTTAAAGTAATCTTAAGTCGTCTCCCAACGAATACGGAATTGTTTTTCAATATTTGAATCTTATGAATGTTATGTAATGGTCAAAAATAAAAGTGAGAAACTATGCTAATGGAATTAATGTTTGAAAAATGTTTGAAGAACAAAGAGGAAACTTAGAAACAATTATGATGAAATAGGCTAATTTCACTACTTTTCCAAGATTGATTCATCATTGGTTATCCACGTATCATTGTTCAATTGATTATTGTTCAAGTTTCCAGTTATTTAAAGTACATTCTGAATTAATTTGAGGGCGATCATGCAGTTAACCTAAGTAGATTCTCAATCAAATGCAAGACCATTCTAGATTATTCACAATGAATTCAACCAATTCTCAATCAAATTCTATTGTGTTTAATCATGTCTATTCTTAAATCTCCTAACCAAATTAAAAGTTAATTAATCAAAGTAAATTCTCAATTAATTATAGTTGAAATTATTACCACCAATCAAAATACATTCTCAATTGATCGAGAAAACCTGTTTAATCATATGAAAGTTCCTAAATTTAATCAAATTAGATTCTCAACCAAATCTAGAAACCTTTGAACTCATATGATCAATATGCATGTAGATTCAAACACCTTATGATGCAAAAACCATTACTTTCAATATGGTTGAGAGATGAAAGACATAGAAAGAGAGCAACTGA